CGTACACACCGGTACCTGAATCGCTTGCGTATGACAACTATCGGGTCTTGGCAGTATCACAGCAACTCTGAGGTTATTCAAGGATCTTGAATATATCCTTGACGTTTTTTCAAAGTGTCATTGTGCTACCCTGGTGTGCCGGGGCCTCAATCGCGCCGCGATCTCTTCTGCTATCAATAGAACTCTCATTAACGTAAATGCTTAAGCAAACTGCTCTGTCTTCAGAGTATCTTTGCCTTTCTACTGCCTTCAGCGGTCTTTTCTTTTTGACTACTTACGGTGACATGGGATTATTACACCTCTCCTCAGACCCCCAGTTCTCTCTATCACAGGGAAACATGTATAGGGAGGCCCAGCAGTTTGAGGCGAACTTTGGGTGTGCTTTTTATCCTCCTAACCTCCTTCCCTTTCTTGTGGCCATCAGTCCCCGAGACTTTTGTATTCGTCTGGTTGGTACGCCTCCTACCTGTTGCCCCTTTGTAGCAAGGATTGGCAATAAGGGGGAGGCCCAACACAGAGCTCCGATCCTCTGGCTCACTGGAGAACGCAACCAGGCTGAAGCTAGGGGGGGTCGAGTGTAGGACACTTTAGTCTTCTTCGAAGAGCACCATCAATCATCACTCTCTATTACCTTTCTCTCTCCCTAAATCATTTCCACCTTTTCCTATCACCCCCCTCTGTTCACCTGCACCTCACCTCACTCCCCTCACCCATCTCATTCCTGACGACCCCATGACCCCTTTTGAATTTGAATCTGAACCATGACCAAAGTAAAGATTAATGTTCACGGCGGCCCGTCCCCGAGCCGTAGTAACACCCTCGCTCAGGCTCTCTTCGAGGCCAAAATCAGAGTACTTCGGTACTGCCCCACTCATGATGGGTATGTTGCTCTCATAGAGGACAACACACAAGCAGAGAAGCTTTTCTCTCAACAAGTCACCACCAAGCTAGAGAAACTGGGATTCTCGCCTGTTCTGCCCTTAGACATGAGAGCCAAGCCGACCATGATCTTTAAGAAGCTCGACAGACAGGTGGTTAACGAGACCTCAAACGACATTGCCAACGAAATCATGGCATCTGCCCCCCCCCCCACGCAAAAGTGGAAAACATTCATATCATGCAACCACTTTACATGATCAAAGCCAGGTTTGCTGAACATGCGTCAGCAAACAAGATTAAGGAGGAAGGCATCTTCCTCTTCAAGGACTTTGTCGCCCCTTGGCAGATAGAGTTCGAACGCTTTACCCCTGTCAGGCAGTGCATGAACCGCTATGCCTACGGACACCTTAAGGTTAACTGCAAGGAGAAGAAATCTCGTTGTTCCGAGTGTGGGTCTGGCACTCACTCATACCGCACCTGCAACAGCACGGTTAAAAAAATGCCTAATTGCGGGGGGGGGGGGGACCCCGCACCTTTGCTAACAGCCCTGTTAGGAAGGAGGCCATCAAAACCTCCCAGGAGGAGAAGGAGAGGGAAAAAGAGAAAGAGGTTATACCCCTAAAAGCTGTGGCACAAAAGGCTGCTCAAGCCACAGTGCAGGCCACCACCAATGCCTGGAGGCCACTCATAAACCAGGTTCGCCAGGATATCAAGGAAAAGACCATACCCAAAAAAGACCCCACAGTGCACCTTGCACTGAGAAGGAACAACCTCCCCGACCTCGATCTAGGAGCAGACTCCTGGGGGATCCTGAAGGTGGTCCAAACTCCCCCCCCCCCTGCCCTACCAGAAAGCCCTCAGAAGCGGCCTCGCACATCCAGGCCCTGGACACTCAGCTAGAGCAGATCTCCCCATACACCCCTACAACACCGGCAACCCCAGCCCCTACCCCTGACACCTCAGTCAGACCCAAGCAGCAGCAAGCCACTGCAAAACCAGCCAGCTCAAAAAGCCACACACCTGCACCCCCACAAGCAGTGGACCAAGCTCCCTCTGCAGAACTGGCAACCCAGGCCCTGCAGAAACATCCAGCCCCGACGATCCCGACAGCTCCCTTGTAGAGAAGGATGGTCTGGAGAGGCTTATGGATGGAACAGTGCAAGATCCCAGATTCTATGGTATAAGACTCTTTGCAAAAAACCCTAAGAAATACAAATATTCCAGAAGGCAAGAAATTGGCCAAGAAATAGAAAACGGACGAATTAGGTGGCTCTACTCTAACGAAGAGCAATTTAATCTGGTCATGTGTGAGAAACAACACGAACAACTCAAACAAGAAACATCTTGGTCACGAACACCATGACTGAAAAACACCATGACATAAACAGAATACACAATGGCCACCTTGCGGTAAAACGCAAGTGTATCACACGCAAACATGATAAATAACAACACACTACATTCACGCTTCACAGTCATCCAACACAACATAATACACTGGACATCACGCAAAACTGAACTCTGCAACACTTACAGAAAACATGATCCACATATCATTCCTCATAAACAGTTATGGGCTCAATAACACCACTTCATTGAAAATCTTCACTTACACTGTCTATTCTTCAAACAAATCACAGGAAAGAAGCGATGGCGTAGCAATTGCGATCAAAAACGACATACCTCACAAAATCATAAATAATTTCACCTCAGACCTTTTGGCAGTCGAAGTAAACACATCACAAGGACCCATTATACTGGCAATACTATACATTCCACCACGAAGACCATACATTCCAGAACCTGACATCCTGCAGCTCCTGAGGCACAACAAACCAATATACATCATGGGAGATTTCAATGCTCACCATGCACTCTTTGGCTACAACACAAATGCAGTTGGCAGAGGCCTGGCCTCTTACATACAACAAGGAAGACTCACACACCTCGGTCCACACACACCAACATACATAGCATATAACACAACAACAACACCCGACATAGTACTTGCGAATCACAGAGCAAACCTACACTATCACATTTCAACAGACAACGGCACCTCCAGGGATCACCTCTCTGTAATAATAACATTGTCAACAAACCTCATCATGACCCCAACACAGCCCCGAGAATCCTTCAAACATGCAAACTGGGAGGGATTTAAACAAACACTCAAAAACACACAAGTAATCGATCTCGAGGGTCAGCCCACGCACATGATAAACAACCACCTTGAACAGTGGTACACAGATATATAGACGGCCCGTGAGGCCAACATACCCAAAACAACACACAAAATTATCCCTCATTACAAAGAAACACATTGTCTGAAATTGCTGAAAATACAATCTACACGAACTATCAATAACACGGGGCTGGGACGCACAACTACGCACACGATACAAAGACATACGAACACAACTCACACACGAAATTAAAGTAATGAATAAGAAACACTAGCGAGGAAACTATGTCAGAACAGGAAAGACCCCAAGAAATTTTGGAGTTCCTTCAAAATGCTCATGGGGTCGAACAGACAGACGGCCACATACATCTACAACGCACACAGACAGAGGGTAAACTCGGTGGAGGAGATGGAGCTTCTCCACAGGGAATTCTGGCAACAGAATTTCCAGATCTCCCCCGCCGAGAACGCCCGTTTCGACCACACCACAGAGACCGAGGTTGCAAACTTTCTACAACAACATAAAAACCTAACTCTCCCAGAGAACATCATAACACTAAACAATCTCATAGAGGATAGTCCCCTCTCCACACCAATCACTCCAGAAGAAATTATTATCACAATATAACACACGAAAAACACAACACCAGGAGCAAGCAACATAAACAAAACAATCATCAAACATCTGCCACCCACTATGATCCACAGGCTACGTCACATCTTCAACGCATGTTTGGCTAAAGGATATTTCCCCGACAAATTCAAACACGCAACTGTCACCCTTATTGCGAAGTCGGGGAAGTCAGCACATGAGGTGGAGAATTACCGCCCCATCTCAGCTTGCCTGTAGTGCACACAGAGATCACCCACTTGGCGTGGTGACATTATTGTTACCCACTTGGCGTTATCCTGCAGAACAAAGTCACTTGACTTTGATCTCTTTCGAGATTATATGATAACAAGCTACACAGAGCTCCGCCAATTTATCGTGGTTCGCCGCGACAATTGGTCAGGCTTTCTCTGGTAGTGAGTACCCCCCCCTCCTTGGAGAGTGAGGTAACAAACCTGGGCTGGACTCCCTGGTCCTGGCCATAGTTGTGACTTCGCACCAAGGGCGACTTTTCGGTGCCTGACTCTCGCCCTCTCTTTCCCACTTCATGGTGCAGCCTGGGCCTGCAGGAAACTTTGGTTTCCAACATTCGCCTGGGCTACGGTGACGTGATCACACCTCCCTTGTAGCAGGATTGGGGTGCAGAGCGTTTACCACATCAAAGCTCCGAGTTCAGCCCACCCAGGGGGATCTCCTGTCCTGTGGTGCTGAAGGGTCAGTGTAGGGACAGAGAATTTGAGGCCCTTCATAAGACCTCACCCAGTGAGTAGGAAAAGGATAGACCCCGAAAGGGGACCAACAAACCCATCCTCTCCCAATGACCACATGAGCAAAACAAGGCAGTCACCCTGAGCCTTTCAAGGCTACAGGGGGCAAAGAAAGTTAAAATGCAGGTCGAAGTGTCCGGCCTGCAGCAAAGAGCAAGGACAAGACAAAAACCACAAACAAAATCTGTCCTTGCACACAGACTGAGAGAAATCTGAATTCCCCTCAGAATTCTCAGTCAAGAAGGGGCTCAGCTGAACCAGCCAAACCAGCTGCCCCACTTCCAAAGGCCTTAAACCCCTGCAAAGGGGAGGCGTGAAGCGACGAAGGGTGGACTGACTCTGAAGAAGAGCAGAACACACCCCAAGTCGACTAACGCGGTTTAAGGTACCAAAAAACCTGAAGACTTCGACAATGCATACCAGCTGGTAAGGGCATTGGAGAAGGAAAGAAATGTGAGATTATCAATCCGAATCTCCAGAGATGAGGGCATGATCATTGCCCCCAAAGACAAAGCCACCATGAACTTCCTGCAGGAAATCAAGGTGCTAAAAGATGGGAGAAGGTGTGTATCTCACCACTGACCTCCCAAGAGAAAAAACCAAGATGGTGCTACTTGGCTTTCCACTAGGGTTCGACGTGGAGGTGATCACGTCTCTCCCACAAGTGGTGGAGGCTTCCCGCATGACCAAAGGGAAGTCTCCAACCAGGCAAGTCCTGTTATCCTCAAGGGAGCCCCAATCACCACCCTTGATCTGGGTAACTGGGGCTCATACAAGCTCAGGACATATGTGCCAGAGCCCTTGAGGTGTTTCACGTGCCAGAAATTTGGGCATCACCAGGCCAACTGCAAGGCCAAAGCCAAATGTGGTGTATGCAGCGAGGCACACGAAACGAAGTGTGTATTAAGGCACACAAAGATGGCCAGAAGGACACAACAGCCAAGTGTCCAAACTGTGCCAAAAACATCATGCCTGGAGCCTGGCTTGCTCTGTCAGGAAACAGGCAGTGATTAAAAAGCAGGAGCTAGCCAAAAAGCGTCCTGACTTTGTCCCTGCGCCCCCAGGCACCTATGTCTGGGGAAAACAAAATAAAAGAAAGACTCCCCGACCTCCTAAGAGGAAGGAGTCGCCCCCACAGAAAAGGATACCTCTAACAGAGAGGAATTCCCCAGCTTGCTAGTGGCAAAACACAAAAAAGAACCAAAGGGAAAAAGGTTCAAAGTCCACAGCAATGGTCCCCCCAGTAGATGATAATCTTTTCTTTGACGAGAAAGATATGACTCTCCTGTTGAGTGCTGTAGTTTCTGCAGTAGCAACAGCCTTGGGGAGGACCAGTGAGGAGGCGGAGAAAGCAGTGCAGGTCGCCATGACGGCTATGACCCAAACTGTGGCAGCTCTGAAGGGAAGGAAGCTAGAAGCCTCCAAACCGATAACGAGCAGCGCTCCCCTCCCTAAATCCTCGGATGGCAGGCTAGCTTCAAGAAACATCATAAAACCCCAGCTAGTCTGTCAGGACAGGCTGAAACTGTGCAGCAGGCCGAGCCGAGTCTGTACAGCCAAAGTCTCGTCCTCCGACCCGAGGTGACACTTCCAACCTAGGCCCTACACCCCTCGGTAGAGCCTTAACCGGAGTGTCTGACTTAGAGGAAGTTGTACAATCCTCAATCAACGAGGATCTGTATTTATCTGATGCCACCAGCACTGGGGCATCTGAAGCTGAAGCAAGTGACACTGAGTAACCATCATGGCACACAATCTAAGCATACTGCAGTGGAATATCTGTAGCTATAAAAGCAAGAACTCCTTTCTCCAGTCAATTGTGCGAGCAAGGAGCATTGACGTCGTCATGCTCCAGGAGACACTAACTATGGGATCCGTGTGCTTCTCAGGATATCATGCCTTCACCACTCCAAACCTGGATGGTGCTAGAGGCCTGATGACCCTGGTAAAAGAAGCTATCCCTGCTCCTTAATAGCCAATCCGCCGCACTGTGGAGATGGTGTTGAATCTCTTGCTGTTGAGATTCAGCTACCTGGGGGCTATAAAAATATATAATATTTATAGCAAACCACTGTGTGAGAGCTTAGATCTAAACCAGTGATCATAGGGGGAGACTTCAATGCACACATGGCCATGCTGAATCCCCGCAAAAGGCCGAACGCGGCAGGCATTCACATAGCAGAAGTGCTTGAGACATTCCCTGAGATCGCTCTTCTCAACACCAAAGAACCAACGCATGTGAAGGGAGGGGTCCTAGACCTCACCTTTGCCACTGCAACAATGGTGGAGAGAATTCGGTGGTGTGTCGATGATACGGTTACTAGTGATCACTACGGCATAGTCACCACACTAATGGATGCAGGTCCAGCCCAAAGACCACATCACATTCCTAAATGGAAAACTGACAAGGCCAACTGGTTTGCCTTCCAGGAAGGCTTGGCTCGATGTCTGAAAGACAATGAACCCAATAACAATGAAAATGGATGTGCTAGAGGCAAGGCTAATCCAGGCCATAAACCAGGCAGCCTCACAAACCATTCCCAAAACTCGCCATGGTCCAGAACTCACAAAGACGCCTGGTACTATAATGACGAGATCAAAGAGGTCAACCACAGGGTTAATATGTGTAGAAAAATTCCGACGGCAAAGATCTCCCGACAATCTGGCCCTGTTGAGGGAAGCTGTTGTGGATGCCAAGGAAACTGCCAACAGAGTAAGGCAGGAAAAATGGCTGGAATGGTGCCAGTCTTTTGGACCAGACCAGCCTTACAGAGTTGTGGAAACGGGTCAGGCAAGCGACAAGCCGCCAAGCCCCGAAATGCACTCATCATGACCCACAATCAGAGGCTAACAGATTGGTGCTTGAGTTCTCAGCCAGAACCAGCACCAACAATCTGCCTCCAATGATGAGAGAAAAACAACAAAACTTAAATCCAGAAAGACTTGCTCTCATAAGAGACAAGGCACTCGAAGCTGATGAACAGATGCCTTGTTCTCTCTTAGGGAACTAAGAAAATCATACAAATCCAGTTCTGGGTCAGCACCGGGATCTGATGGGATCTCCACCCCATCATTTCGCATCTAGGCCTTGCAGGAGAACTTGCATTCTTGCAGGTTATCAACAAATCCTGGCAAACAGCCACGGTGCCCCAGAGCTGGAAACAAGCCACAATAGTTCCCATCCCAAAACCAAAGGAGCCTGGCAAGTACCGTCCCATCTCTCTTCTCAGCTGCCTGGGTAAAACAGCTGAGAGATGGTACTCAACAGGCTCCGATGGAAAACGGGCCCCCATGAACACCTGCACGGGTTCACAAGGGGTAAGAGCACTGCTCATAGCATTTCCACACTCTTAAGCACAATCTGCACCTCGCCCGCCGTGGTTGTCTTCCTTGACCTGGAGAAGGCTTTTGAATTGGCAAGTCCGCTTGCCATTCAAGAGACCCTAATCCACAAAGGAGTCAAAGGCAGACTCTTGGCCTGGATAGCTGACTATTTTAAAAATAGATCAGCAAATGTCAGATTTCAAGGCCACCTCTCACAGCACATGCCACTTGAAAATGGAACTCCTCAGGGAGGGGTTCTTAGTCCAGCCCTGTTTAATACCCTCATGTCCAACATACTCGACATTCACCTGCCAGAGGGATGCAAGATCATCTCTTATGCAGATGACTTGGCAATCATAGCCTCTGGCAATCACTGCCTAACTAGAGCTCAGCGTTGTCTGAACCTGGTGTCTGAAGAGTGTTGTAGGACGGGTCTAAAAATATCAGCAGCAAAATCCAAAGCAATGGCTCTGAGAACTAATGTCAGAAACAAAAAACTCACTGTACAGGGTATGGATCTGGAATGGGCCAAGGACTACCTATACCTTAGTGTATGGATAGCACACAAGTCATGACAGGGAGATACATAGGAGGACACAAAGTACTAAGATAATTCTATGTACATGCTGTCCGTCCTATTATTGACTATGCATCTGTCGCCCTTATTGCTTCTAGTACATCATTAAAAGAAAAACTGGAAACAATACAAAACGAAGCAGCCAGGATCATTCTAGGTGCACCTAAGTGGACAAAGGTCATCAACCTCCTCATGGAAGCTGATTTACCGTCCATGGACACCAGAATTGATCTAATGGCAGCACAGTTCTTTTCCAAGGTCCTGCAGGCACCCAGAAACTCCTATCTAAGACAAAGAGTTCTCAGACGCCTACAACAAGATTACCAGTTGTTTGCGGACAATTCCTGGCTCACACATACAGCCAGAGTTTTGATACGCTTTCAGCTAAAAGAATCATTGCTTGCCAAGGGCATGGACTCCCCTCACCCTGATTACAAAGAACCCCGCCGTGGGCAAACGAAATGATCGAATTCTCAATTCTAAATCTTACAATGAGAAAAGATCAATATTCCATGCCTAGCCTAAAGGCACAAGCACAAAGGGTCATTGATCAAATAACTCCTCCGGGTAGTATAACATACTACACGGACGGATCCGTGGATCCAATAAACCATACTGCAGGCGCCGGCTTTGCAACAAAGGATACCACAGCATCCATTAGGGTCACTGACAATGCCTCAACGCTTCAGGCTGAAACGGTTGCGATCATGGAAGCTGACACACGCGTCCCTGAGGAGGACACGTTGTCATTCACACAGATTCAAGAGCAACTATTGACAGCTTACAGCATAGCATGCCCCAGATAACATCTACCTCTTGACAACAGTACTAACATAGCCCAAAAATCCTAGTCAAGGTAGAAGAATCATCATAAACTGGGTCCCAAGCCACATAGGCATACGGGAACGAGCTTGCTGATAAACTAGCGAAAAGGGCAGGGGTATGCCCCCATCCTCCATGATCGTTAAACCCAGCCGAAGGGGACTAAGCCAAGGTACCAAAGCTGCAGCGTGTGCGGTCCTCCGGGAGCACATAGAGAAAACATCACAAAATCGCTCGCTGCCAAGTGGTACTCAGATGCTTCAGGCTATGAGCCACTGGCCCTTCCTCCAAATACAAAAAGAGGTACCGAAGTCATACTATTCAGACTAAGACTAGGTTACCAATGCGCTTGGCAAATTATTGACAATGAGACTGCCAGGTTATGCAAACACTGCGGCGAGCCTAACGCCACCCTGTTACATTACTTGCAGAATTGTGTACACACAATTTCTGAGACAGGGACCACCCACCACAGCCGCCGGGCTGGTAAAAAGGGTGTGCAACATGCTTTCTCCGTGGCAACTGGATCGCTTGCTCGCAATTCAGCCACCACGATAAGCATGCAGTTCAAAGAAAACATCTGAGTTAACTAGAAATAGTTAACACAGGCCGGGCCACTCCAGAGAAAAGGCATGACTTCGCAAATCTAACTGAACTGAACTGCCACGATTTATTCACTTTGCCCGCCTCGGCCCGCCTAGCGGTCATGGGATCGTCAACACGGAATTATACACGAGTTATTTCAAGGACTGAACATCTTACAAACTTGCTACGGACACTGACTCGATTGCCTGTGATTATGGGATTGCACTCGTGCAATTGCATAAGGCAGGCACGCGAGTCTGAGGACGAGAAGGATGGAGATGTTCGGAAAAAGAAAAAAAAGAAAAACTTCAAAAAAAAAAAAAAAGCCTTCTTTGTTCTTATGTTATATCATGTTATATCCACAGCCTGTCCTCTCGCCCTCACCATCAGCAGCTTCTCGACGACGCATACCGAGACCTGGTTGACCACGGACACCTCACGGCTCGTCTATTGGACCGCAGGCTCCCCTCATTCCCGGGTGGCTGGCACAGCTCAGACCCACTTAAGCTCCAGAACCTGGGCCGAGTTCAGCACTCACGATCCTCCAGCAGAGCAAGACACAGCAAGCAGCAACTAGGCCTACCCAGGCCTTAGCCGTCAGGGGAGCCGCCCCGGCTTTCCCCGTCGATCTCCAGCACACCAGCTATACCTGTGGGCATTCACACCCAAAAGCTCCTTAAAGAGATGAATGACATATATACACATAGATAAATGAATAAAAATAAACACACACACACACACACACACATATATAATATATATATATATATATATATATATAATATATAATATATATATATATATATACATATATATGAATGTATATATATATAATTATTTATACACACACGCATATATCTATCTATCTATCTATCTATCTTCTATCTATCTATCTATCTATCTATATATATATACATATATATATATATATATATATATATATATATATATATATACATATATATATATATATATATATATATATATATATATATATATATATATACATATATATGCATGTATATATATGTATATATATATATATAATTATTATACACACACGCTATATCTATATCTATCTATCTATCTATCTATCTATCTATCTATCTATCTATCTATCTATCTATCTATCTATCTATCTATCTATCTATCTATCTATATATATTATATTTATATATATATATATATATATATATATATATACATATATATATATATATACATATATATATATATATATATATATATATATATATATATACATATATATATATATATATATATATATATATATATATATATATCATATATATATATATATATTATATTATATATATATATATATATATATATATATATTTATTTACATATATATGTTTCTGTGTGTGTTAAAGGAATACTTTCAACGTATGTCACTGCTTGTCGTAGAAGGCGACTATAAGGACCCCCGTGGTAGGGTACGACCCTTTCCCCCCTATGATAAAAAAAAAATGAACGAGGTGCAAATTGGGGAAGGCCTTTGTGCAACATCGGATTTTAGAAGGCTGTAATATATATATATATATATATATATGTATGTATGTATGTATGTATGTATGTATGTATGTATGTGTGCGCGCGTGTGCGTCTGTGTGTTCATTTTATTAGTTACTGATTAGAAAAGATATCAGATAAAAGTCTTATTAGCAAATATTTTTTATTAAAACATTAAAACAAAATGAAATGACAAATTTGTGCTTTATGGCACATTTCACATATGCATGGAAATATAATTTTCAAATTATTGTTTGCAATTAGGATTTCTAAAAAAAAGTTTTTGTTACACAGACAACAGTCTGTTAAGAAGCACAACGTGACCCACCGTCTCCTACTCTCATATCAGTTCTGTACAAACCTATATTTATAATCAAATAACAAACCACAAGCTAAATGACAAAACTGAAACTAAAACTAACACAGTTAATGCCTGGACATATTCGTAAATATTAGGGGACAGGATAGTTATCATGGAATATCCATGTGTAAACAACATTTGTTTGACAGGCATTTTCAGGTGTTTAAACTGAAGCATTTTTCTCTAATGAATCAGAGAAATGCACAAATACATTCGACACATGGCCAAATGTTTTGGCCAAAATTGAACAATAATCACGGCATGCGTTGCCATACGTATACGGTCAGTAGAAGAGTGTTCTAACGCACTGGACGTAAGCAGTACATGAAGATGAGCAGTTGATCATGTTGCTGACCCCGGTTGTTGGCTCTTTTCCTGTGTGAGAAGTGCAAGAAGTATTTACAGAGCGACGACAGTGTTGATAGTAATAACAATGAGAAACTAGAATCTAAATAACTGTTATTTCGAATGTCGCAAGTAATTATTGGTGATAGCAAACAATTTTATAAGGCAAGGTGTGCTAATAGAGTAAATATAATAACCGTCGTCGTTATAAAAAGCAATAATCTAACAGTACCACTCCTAGGTACTGTTGTATAGAACATATACCATACCGTCTTTAATCTTGCATGATGCGAGCAACTTGCGGCAGCCGAGACAACAGCGTCATGCTCATCTTCCACCACTTCCATGCGTCCTCGTTCGTGCTGGCCACTGCAAAAGGTAATTGTCAAAACAGTAGACAAAGAAACCATTGTTTTAGCTGACACCTGAATGTTGTAAAAGTATATATATTTTATACAAATGGACGTCCACCGACCTTGGACGGGCTCGTCTGGGACGGAGAACCTGAAGAC